CAAAATTAGTTTTTAAATCTCTGCTATGATTATAATGACAGTGATTATGATGACATTTTAATTGTTTACTTCTGAAAGTAGGAATAGGTTTTGCTTAAATGTTTGAATCCCAATGAATAAAACAATGAGATATAAGAACAAGAAAGAACATTTTGCTTATTTGGGGGTGGATTTAAAATAATTCTACTCCGTAGAATACAGCTGTTCAAATTCATGAAGATTTTATTCCAGGAAGAAAAACAATGGAGCTGTTATTTTGGATAAAGCCTTCAAAGCAGCTACCAACGACCATGCTCACTCTCCTCTCATCACTCCTTTTATTTGACCCAAAGGGATTCTATGTATAAGACACATTTGGTAAATGTTTGTCACTGCTCATTAGTCTTTGGGTGCTAGCAATGTGCCCTCATTCATTTATCAGTGATGGTAAGTTGCTCTGACATTTCCCTCAAGAGAGCCATGTCTCATCCTCAGAGCGACAAGACAGGCACTCAGAAAGGATTGCATACATTTCTTGAGCCCCCTTGGCTTTGTGCAAAATCCAAATGAGAACTGTCTCTGCATACTTTATTATTCCCCGGGGTTCATTTCAAGCATTCTGAAGCTGTTGCATAGTGTGCCAACGTGTAGTTTCTTTACGAGTTGTGATCATTTTAAATAATGGTATGTATGAAGCAGTTTCCAAAACATCATGGAAACATCTCATTGTCTTTCAACTTTTTCCGCGAACTTTTTGAAACTCCTTTCTACAACAGGGTCCCCTCCCACTGAATGGCTAAAATAGACTGACTGTTGACTGCTGCTTTGAACTGCCACAGTATTTTAGGATTTCTTGGGAGAAGCATGAACTCTTAGAATGCAATACTCTACTCAATTATTTACTTACAACTCAGTAAGCCAACTAAAAACATAATTCAGAGCTCTGGACATCTCAACAAATGCAAAGTAAGGCAGTGGATTAGATAACATGAGGAACAAGGAGGAATGCAATATTGTTACTTTGGTTTCTATGCCCAAGGATACTAGATGTTTACCTCTGAGTATTTCTTGAAGCTGCACAAATAAGAATCGCTTGCTCAAAGACATGCAGTAACTGTCTTGGTATACCTACACGCATTATTAATGTACTCTTTATTGATTGATTGATTGTATTTGTTAAAATTGTGTAGAGAAGACTGGGCACTACAAAGGAACAATTTATCTTTTAAAGAGAGAAAAGCAAATTTAACAACTTATGCCATCAGTAAAGATTCTTTAAAGCTTTCTTGCTTTCTAAATTAAAGCCTCATTTAATTTTCTCATCTTACCCACTACCACCCTTCCATTCTGAATCAAAGAAGCACTATTTCTCCCAAGATTTATCAGTCTATGTACCTCCTACCCTCCATCTCTTTCTGTTGCTGTTCTAGCATTGTTCTCAACACTTTTCCCCCTATAAATTCTTGTTCCTTCAATTATGTATCTTGAGTTTGCTGCTCTAAGAGAATATTCCACCATGCCTATAAAAATCTTCCAACTACTCCCTTGCTTAAGGGCCCATGTAGTGCACACAGTCTCTGCTTTGCTACTAATCTAAAGGTGTGGGGTTTGAGCCCCCTCCACACCTCCATGGAAGAAAGTGCTGGTAATCTGCTTCCATGAAGATTAATGTCAAGAAAACTCTGTGGAGCAATTCTACTTTGCAATACATGTGATTGCCTTGTGTCAGAAGTAACTCAATACTAGTTAGTTTGGGTATGCTCAGAAATAAATGTTTCCCTCGACCTTTCTACCTCCTAGAGCAGTTATACTTCAGCTCTGCTTCGTTTACAGCAACATTCTGAAATAAGTCTCCCAATAATTCCTACCAATACTTTACACTTTAGCTGGATATTACACAGTGATCTACCCAACTCAGTGTCAAGTTGAGTCCAATCCACAGGGACCCTTGGATGAAGTAGAATTTCTCTTGGGATCCACTAGGACATAAGAGAACTACTCGGGGCCATTCTCTCTCCACAAGCAAATTGCCTCCTCTTTTCCCAACAGCAGCTGGTTGGCTCAGTCTGTTGACCTTTCAGGTCACAGCCCACCACTTAACCCACTGTGCCACGGAGTCTCCTCAAACGGCTCACTCAGTTTTCAACCCTGACCATCAAATTGCAAAGTTCCACGGACTTTTCTGACTTGCCCTCATTCTTCAATTCAGAGAAGCCCTTCCTTATAAAGTACCATGATAAATATTAGAACCAAAACATTTAGGGTTGCAGTTTTCTCTACAACTACATACAGGCATAGTTTTATTAATAATATCATTTCTCTCTTGAGCAGTCTTCACTGGCTCTGAAATTAAGTCATCATCTGAACCTGACTTACACGACCTTCCACATGACAATCTCCATCAATCCCTTCAGACTTCATGCAGGTTTCGAGCCCTGCTTAACATTTCTTTTACTCTCCAAATGCTTTAGACCTTTTGCTTTTGCTGCAGCTTCCTTCATATGGTTACTTCCACTTTGAATTTTTCCACTCTTCTTTTCCACCCCTACCCCTCCCCTTTATATGACAAGGGCTATGCCTCAGGTTTCTTAAAGCTGCTAATGCAGAAATGCCACAGAGTGGCTTTAATGAACAGATTTTAATTTCTTTTTCTTGACGAGGAGTCTAGAAGTTCAGATTGAGGGCACCAACTTTAGGGAACTTTGTCTGTGTGAGCCCTGGGCAAGGTTTGACCTGTTCTTGTAGTTCCATTCCTGGGTTTCCTGGAGATTGTCCCCGGTGTGTACCCTCCCCTCCCTTAGGACTTGCCTGCTGGCTTCTATGTGCCTGGTGTGCTCTTCCAATATCTCAGAGGGACTTGTTTAAACTCACCCTACTTAATACAGGCTCCCCAACCTAACCAAGAATGTCCTATTCCCATACGGGATGATGGCCAAATGTTTCAAAAAATGCTAAACCCATGGCCATCTAGTTGAATCTGCCTGAGAGCACCCCCTAGGATGGTGTAGGAAGGTCCTTTAGGGCTGCCAAGGCTCTGGTTTTCTGCCAAGGGAAAAGGAGAAGGAACAAAAAGGGGCAGGTCCCCAAGGAGATCAGTAAACTCAGTAGCTGTGACAATGGACTTGAGAATGGGCAGGCTCTGGCTGTGTTTTGTTCTGCTGTACACAGGGTCATTGAGGGTGGGAATTGAGTCGACAGCACCAAACTCTCACAATCTTTATGGAAACCGACTGCCAGATCTTGTGTCCTCGGGCTTCTGTTGGGCTTGAGCTGTTTATCTTTCAGTTAACTATCAAGCATTTTACCTCTGCACCACCGGGGCTCCTATCTCTGCGTCAGGATTGACAACACATGTTCTGAGGGGTATAATTTAATCTCCAACAGTCCATTTCAAATTTGGCTTCCTCATCAAACATTCTCCTGACTACTGCTAAAACTGCAAGTCATTCCTTAAAATCTCATCAACACTTCTGTGTATCTCTTTTAAGATAATGGCTGCTCACTACATTTTTAGAATCTAACATTTATTTTATGTAAACCACCACTCACCCAACGAGAGTACAAGTTGTAAGTGTAAAGGGACAGTAAATATCCGCTATTCCTTTTTATGAGTCTTGTGTAGCAATAACCATTGTGATTTATGCTTTAGTAAACTTTAGTTGCTGGTAAATTGCTTACACGGAGATTGTTTGTCTCTAGCAACTAGCTAAGGCTTAAAGTTTTCCTATATGTGCCTCAGTTCTCCGTCTAGTGAGCTTACCAATTGACGCGGTTTCACAGCTTAACTCAGTTTTTGCCAGCTCTTACTGCTTGCAGCCAGTTTAGCCTGATTCTGAAACTGGAAAACAGAAAATAAAGATTAATTCTAAATAGATTTATCTATTTATTAATAAAAAATAAAATGTATGTACTGTATGAGCAAAGTCCTTCATGTTATTTTTTGTACAGATTCTTCATAAAAATCCATGGACTCTTCCACACAAATGAAAATATACTGATTATTTGATTTGTTTAGGAACGTTGACATAAATGTTGTCATTTCCAAATATCATGTAATTATAAATATATTTTCTTTATCTACAGTTCACTTAATCCAGCATTTTCACAAATTAACCCTGTGGTAAAATATTTTAAAACTAATCACATTAAGACTTAAATAATCCATTATAAAAGTTTTAACAACTTTGTTTTCTTCACCGGCTTTATTATTTTACATAATAACATTTCTTCCTAAAGGTCAGGTCTCTTTCCTATTAGAGGAAATTTACATACTGATCTATTTTTACCTGATTCCTATTTATTAATGAACAGCTGGTATGCGAAATCTAAATGATTAACACAAAACTGACTTTCTTTCAGGTCATCACAAGTGACAAAAAGTTGATATAAAAATTAGATACCCTTTGATTATGTTGTGTTAGAATTATCTGTAACTTGATATTATTTCCAGTCTATTCCTTAGGGATTTATCACTCTAAAATGTACTTACCAGTATAAGTTAATTGTACAAAAGACCAAAAACCAAATGATTTCTATAATGCAATTTACAGTCACTGTGTGTGTATTTGACTTTTAGTTCAACTTTCAATGTCTTTTAATTGTCTTTAGAATTGTCAAAAGGAAAAACAAAAGCTGAAATTTTCTAATCAGCCTGGAAATAAAATCTGTAGTGGGTATTTTTCTTAATCTATTTTGCTTATGTGACTCTATCTCAATTTATCCTAAATGGAAAAAGTGATAATAATTATTGGACAAGGTTTTAAGAGGCAAGGGAAGGAAAGCATATTCCGGAAAGTCGCGGAGGCCTTTCTTACCCAGGAGGACGTTGGAGGTCTTCTGACCACACTCTGAGCTTGGCATTGTTTCATCCCCAGGCCTCTTTCCAGTTCCGAAAATTTGCCCATTTTGCTAGGCAAATTCTTGTTTGTAAGAACACTAGATGCTCATTTTCGACAGTAAGCGAGCATGGGAATCTTTAAAAGGCTTTCAACATACTATCTCATCTTTGGCAAAACTGAAGTGGACTGTGCCTTAATTTCCCTTTTATCTTCTCTCTTGAAGAAAAACTTGAAGGCACACCAGCATCAAAGAAAGCGCCTGGTGAGTTTGTGAGCTATTGTTTTTGATTTTTTTTTTAATTCCTCTGTGTATATTTATTTATTTTATTTTTTTAACATTTTATTGGGGGCTCATACAACTGTTATCCCAATCCATACACACATCAATTGTGTAAAGCACATTTGTACATCGTTTCTCAAAACATTTTCTCTCCACTTAAACCCCCGACATTAGGTCATTTTTCCCCTCCCTCCCCGCTCCCCCCTCCCTCATGAGCCCTCGATAGTTTATAAATGGATATTTTATCATATATTGCCCTGTCCGACGTCTCCCCTCACCCACCTTTCGGCTGTCTGTCCCCCAGGGAGGAGGTCACACACATTTCCATGTAATCGGTTCCCTCTTTCCTACCCACTCTCCCTTTACCCTCCCTGTTTCGCCACTCACACCACTGGTCCTGCAGGGCTCATCCGCCCTGGATTCCCTGGATTTTCAGTTCCTATCTGTACCAGTGTACATCCTCTGGTCTAGCCAGACTTGCAAGATCGAATTCGAGTCATGGTAGCGGGAGCGGGGAGGAAACATTTAGGACCTAGAGGAAAGTTGTATTTCTCATCATTGTTACATCGCACCCTGACTGGCTCATCTTTGGCTCATTCATAGTTTTCTCTCAAAGCTATATTGTTTCTCTGGTTGTTTTATGTAACTATTCTTGATCTAATTCTCAGCTTGTCCAAAAGAACATTTATGTGGTAGATTTATTCTTTTTTAAGAAATAGCTTTTTGTATAGTTTTTGCTGGGTATTATATATAGCCTTGCACACTGAAGATGCTAGTTGGACACTGATTTATTGCCAGTAATAATTAGATGCATTTACTAGCCAATATGCTTACAGGAAAAATTCTCCCAAGCTGTCATTTCATCAAATGTTATTAGGATGCCCTTTCTGCACACCAGAAAGACCAAAGGCGTGTTCAAATAATGAGGGTGACAGGATATTTTTGGAAAGATCTCACTTACAGTAACAGAAGTAGCAGGGAGGGATGCAGGAAGGAAGATCTCCAGCCCCACAAAAGAGTGGCTGGCAGTCAGAAAATTTGGAGAAAGCTAGAACTATGATCTTGAGCAATTTTTTAAGGACGAAGTTTCTTTATCTGTAAATTTGAGTTTGAACTAACTCTATGAATATTCCGTTAAGGCTTCATGGCCTCCTGATTTAAGCTTGGTGTATAATAGATAGTCTATAATAGATAGTCTCTACTGTGCTTTTGAACTTGCCCACGGACAAAAAGAGTTCTGTGGCAATGCTTAGAATAAAATAAGGGGAAGGAAAATACCATATTTTTGCACAGACAATGCATGCATTATATGGTTTTTGCACTCTGTGTTAGATTCCTGTTATGTTCCTATGTGTATCATGCACATTGTATGACTGTACATGTTATTTATCTGTGTTATTTGTTTAAAAAATATGGTGCTACTATGAGAAAAGGTTCAAGAGGAATGGTACCTGAGTCTTAAGAAATGAAAGTTGAGATTTATATTGATTTTAAAATACAGTTTTGAATACCAGATATTTAGGTGTTTTTACAATTACTTGTTAGGAACAATACCTGTCAATATTTTTGTCTTCTTGGGGAAAATGCTTCTCAAATTTTAATGTATAAACAGTGTGCCTGGCAATTTTATTAAACTACAGAAAGACAGAAAGGTGTAACAATCTTCCAAGACAGGTTGCTACTGCTGGTGGTCCCTGAATTGTCCTTTGCGTAATAGAGTTCAAAAGCCCACTGAGGATCTGATGAAAACTATAAGCCTGCATTTCTATAAAACACACCCGTATGTTTACACACACACACCTTACCATTTCAGGGTGTCACAGAACGTTCCCCCCAAAATACATCTGTGGACTACAGTTACTAACTTCCAACCTTAAGATAAAAGACAGAAAAAAAAGAACTCAAATGCACAGCTTCAATTCCCCTCCCCAGATAATCCCACGGTATGTCTGATTAAGTAGAGCTGTCTGTGAGCCAGAAGGTCAGAATCAAGAACACGGGATGCCAGTTTGCTGCTATTCTTTCTTTCTTTTTTTTTTTTTTTTGCTGCTATTCTTTCATGGCCAAAATAATCATTAAAAAGTTACGTCCTTGAAAAAAAGGTAGAATTATTTTAGCCAAAGGGCTCATCATATAGCCAGATGATAATATGATGACAACAAATAACTTTTCTCAATAAGTATGTGTGTCAGCCAGCCATAGGCCTGCAGCACTCTAAGGCAGTTCTCCAACTTGACCAATAGCCTCTAGCCCGCCTCGTGCACTTCTTTCACGAGTTCTCTTCCACCTCTCGCTCTTGACTATTAAATGTTGTAGTGAGAGTCTGCTCAGACTCTGAGTAAGAACTTTAGTGTAAGTTCATTACAAGAAGGGTAAGTAAATCTCGCTTCTTCCATATTGTACATCTGTTTTGGCATCCTTAGTCCCATGTATATTTGTATAAAAACTGTCAATGTCCAAGCTATTCACTTTTGTATTTTTGTATACTAGAAGAAACTGAAGATACATCCTCCACAAAGAAGCAAAAAAGTAAGTTTATGATTAGACTGAAAGTGTTGGTTCGTTGTATATGAAAGATGTAACATATGAATTTAAACCTGAGACACTCTTAAGGTGGCAAGTATTTCAGGAAAAAGATTTCTAGCTCAGACATGAGATATTACTTGAAAGTAGGTCATTTATATTTCAGAGAAAAGTTTCTCACATTTTATGTCAGGCAAGAGGCACTTATTTGGAAGAATTACAAAGTAATGACCGAAGTGGCATTTACTGCAAACCATTCTGCATAGTTCTGATCCCGAGCACTCGAGCAGAATCTGTGTTTAAATGTGTGTTACTGTCGGCTTTATAATAGGAGAACTGAAGTGATATGCTGAACTTTTTATATCAAATAGAAAAAAGTTAGAATTAAGCCTCAGGATTGAATTGCTTAGAAACTCCTTTTTCAGATTGAAAGTACTTTTTGATTTTCCCCCCAGACATATCACAGGCTCTTAACGCACAATCTTTGGGACAGTTAATTTTAGAATGCAATCAGTGTTCACATGCAATTGCAAAATTCATTGTCCCAGACACCACCGTATTCTAGTACTTCAAAATGAAACATTTTCTTCAAATGATAAACTGATATATGCATTAAATAAAATTATTGCTGGACAGACTAAAGGAAGCAAGTTTTGAAATAGGTAGAGCTGGGTTTTTTCCACACATAATGATTTTAACGTGAAGAACTAGCCATTAATCTGAGGACTTTATGTCAATAATGTTCTCTAGGTCTGCAAAAATTCTAAAATGTACTTCTACAGGAAATTATTTAAAAGCCTCCGACCATAGCAACTTTCTTCTGCTGTACAATAATCATTCAGTTATTTATTTTCAAAATACTTATTGAGTGCCTACTATGTTCCAAATACTGTCCTAGATTCTGTGTCTACCTCAACAGGTAAGAAAGATGCACATTAGAATCCTCAAAAAATCAAATTTTGAGAAGTCGGCAGAGCCTTGGGACCCTACTGCGTGCTGCTGGGGAATCCACAAGAACAAGCGGTAGAGGCCACTCCGCAGCCTCGCTTCCGTTAGTCAGCACTGCTTGCCCTATTGTTAACCCACTGCTAACCACTTGGGGTGATCACATAAACACATGAAATCTCTTCCTTCCTAAATAAACACTAAAGCATAAATCACAATTCTAGTAAAAATGTACGAATAGCTTATGTTAGCTTGGGATTTTATGTAATAATCCTGATTTGCATCTAGAGGCACTTATCCCAAGAGAAAGATGTCATGCTTGGCAAAGTAGAGGGCCATTCAAAAGGAGGAGGCCCTCAATGAAATTGATCGACACAGTGGCTGCACCAATGGTCTTACAGTGTGGAGGAGGCAGAGCCCTGGGCAGCCCGCCCTGCTGTTGTGCACGAAGTCATTGTGAGTCAGACTGGTGCCGACTTCTGATCAGGTTCAGCTAAGAAACTTAAAACCAAACTCACCGTCATCGAGTGGATGCTGATTCAAAGGGACCCTACTGGACAGGGTAGAACTGCCTCTGCAAGTTCCCAAGACTGTAGCTCTTTACGAGAACAGAAAGCCCTGTCTTTCTTCCCCTGAGTGGCTGGTGATTTCAAGCTAGGCACCTTTCCGTAAGCCACCCTATGCATAACCACTATGGCACCAGAGCTGCTTCAGCTGACAGGTGTCCGGCAATTATGAGTCAGAATCACTCCATGGAAGTGAGTTTGGTTGAATGAATGGACTCCTCACCTTGTGGCACTGGCTCTATCAGTCCTCATTCAGGCAGACCCAGCTTTTTCACCATGTGCTGAGGCCCCTCTGGACAGCAGCCCTCCTATGCCTAGAAACACAAAGGGAAGTCTTTGTTTTTTAAATCATTTTATTAGAGGTTCATACAACTCTTATCACAATCCATACATACATCAATTGTGTAAAGCACATTTGTACATTCATTGCCCTCATCATTCTCAAAACATTTCCTCTCCACTTAAGCCCCTGTCATTAGGTCTTCATTTTTCCCCTCGCTCCTCCCGCCCTCATGAGCCCTTGATAATTTATAAGTTGGTATTTTGTCATATGCCTTTATTTGAGGCTTGAACATAATGGAAACAAACGATGCGGAGAGGAGAACTAAATGCATGAGTTCTCCACACGACTTTCATCCCTGAAAGCTTAGTGATTAATCAGGGTCAGGTGCTACCCATGTTTTGTTCCATGACACTTCACGAAGCCCTAGTTTCTTGGGAGGACGGCTGGCTTCCTCATCTCCCGCATACCTTCACACAACTTCCCATTGTCTTTCTCATTCCTGGGCACGCGCAGAAAGTCTGTGGTTGATTGATAGAATGTCAAGAACGGGCTAGAAAGTCCTGAAGAGCCAGTAGACATCTGTGATGTTGAGGGGAGAACAAACTCACCCTTCTGCGGGGGGGGGGGCTTCCTGATTCCAGAGCTCAGGTGCAGACCCTAGGCCCTAGCTTCTCCTGCAGGGTTAACTCTTTTTCAGTGTTGTTTTCCTCTCTGACAGCACAGCACAGCACACCTGGGAGCATTGTCCCAGAGTCCCTCCACTTCCCTCCAGGAGAGCTCTTGAACTTTAGAAATCGTAAGGCATTTTTTCCATTAAGAAACACTTAAACGTTTCCTGCTTTACATATTGATGAGCCCATGATACCATGTAAGCCTCTTTGAATATTACGTATACAGATAGATCGAAAATAACTGAGGACTTTAGCACTCTATCTCAGGCGATTTATTTATTATCACTCATCCGGTGTGTCTGAAAGCGGTGCACATCAACAGATTCCTGTAAACCGAGCACTTTGACATTATATGCCAGGTCAGTTTTTATTATCTTTCATTAGTACTAGAAGTGCTTCGCACATTTTACCTCATTTCGTCTTCACAACATGTCTATGCAGTTCTGGTTGTTGTCTTGGTTGTATCAGTGGGCACGGAAGACATAGCGAAGGTGAGTATGCGGGTGGTTGCTGGTTCTTTGGCTGTATAACTCTTGCCGGGGTCCATTGCACGGCGTGGGTTTGCTTCCTTTTCCGTCTGTTCCTTTTAACAAGCCACTCTGCTCTATTCCTTAGGTCCCATCAGTTTCTTCCAATGCGTCTACTTGGATGGGTACAACGGCTACGGATTTCAGTTTCCTGTCACTCCTGCACACCGCCCTGGAGAAAACTCTGGCAACCCAAGTTCTCCCAGGCAGAAGCATCAAGGACAATAAACACATAAGCCCAGCCCTTCCACATAATTACGATTTTGAAAACGCGGTCTTATGCCTATTGCAGCAAAGGCGATTGAAATTATGTGTGAATTCACGATCCAGGGAATTTCTTTGAGAGTTTTCTGCACTTCTCCTGTGTGGAGAGAGAGGGGTTGGAATTAGTGATACTGAAATAATTCTTTCCGGTCCGGTCCTCAAAAATCTTTGTGTGGGTGTGTTTATTGCTGGTCAGTGGTGCTGATATTTTTCTATTGCCATTCACCATAGGGTTGTATACAATTTAATGTTTACTTAATAAGGTCCTTTTCCAGGTAATTGGTACAATTACAAAATGAAACTCTGGCCTCCGTTAGATGTTAATTTTTAACTGATAACCTAGACTGTGGTCTAAATGTAAAAGCACAAGAAAACCAAAAGAAAATCATAAACACAATTGCTCAGATGGGAATTAGAGAGGTTTTACTAGAAAATTGAATCTAATGTCTTAGTTTTATTGATGCCTGTTTCTAGCTTAATTGTGGATGTATTCTAAGAATGTGCAACAGTTGTACCAAAGCCTGTTATAACTTCTTTATGATGCTCTCTTAGAGCTCAAAATATCACTCAAAATTAGATGTGATGAGACGGAGAAGAATGTTTGATGGATTTTTCTCTAAGATCTGTCAAATGGCAATCAGGCCATTCACGCCAGTGTAAACACACTATCCCAATAGGCAGGAACATTAATCATTTATTTAAAATACAATCAAGTGAAATGGGGAATTGTAGATTTTTCCAACCTGTGCCCTGACATAACCTGGGTGAGATTTTATATTACTCACTAAATTTGAGTGATAGATGCAGACATATTTCATTAACTTCAATATATTTTCAAAGGAGCTAGTGAAGATTTATTTCTCCACATAGGAAAACTGTGAATGCCATCAATGTTTGAAAAACTGTTATCCATGAATGACTTCATGAGAAGTCTTGCCTTTGTTTTACATGCCAATAGCATGGATGACAAATGTTGACCTACTAGACAACGTGTCACTGGGAAAGAGTAGTATGGTCTTGTCATTCTTTCATCTCCTCAGTGATATACATGCACTCCAGTTTATTCACCTTATTGTTCTATCATCTCTGAAGTCATGTCACTCTGACTTTTGTCATATTTAGAGTTGCAACTCAACTCAGTAACACAAGAGATAATTTGTTATCCTTTTTGCTATTCTATTTGTCTAGAGCCAATACTAGCCACGTGATTCATTGTCAAGGACTGCGCTGCCAAGGTTCTTTAGGTGCAAAATACAGAACAATGTTTTACTAAAAACCATTGGGCTAGCACATCAGTGACACATTCATTCTTAATAATGGATTTTCTGTGACTTTTGTGAGTAGAGATGGTTTAAACCAGATTCTGGTGGACCAGGTTCATGCCACAAAAGCCAACATTACAATGATCCAAGATAAGCGACACTATTTCTGGGGGGACCTAGAAGTGTTTAACTTCCAGACTGACTAGACAGTGACGTCCATAAGATCTTAAGATGTCTCTCCACATTGCAGTGGACACATGAGTAGGACAGTGGAAACATCATTCCTCACCTCCTCCCTTTGTTCATCTAATGGGTAAAAGCCTGGAGAGAAGTATGACACTGTTTTAGATTTCACGAAACTCAATGGTTTATCCATTCAGGTTTTCATTCAATGACCACTTCTTGAGTATTTATTCTTTCTAGGACATTGTTCAAGGCACTGAACTATAGAATAAAAAAGATCAAAAGGGAATTTTATGCTCAGTGCCACTATCCACACAGTGTGTGACTTTGACCTTGAATAATGTACTAAACATACTTTGTCTGATTCCCAATGTGTCACATAGGGGTTTCAAGATAAAGAACTTGGTATCTGAAAGAAGTACTATGAAGACTATGACAAATACCTTATTATGGATGTGACATTGAAATAAGTTTCAAATTAGTACTTTTGGATGTGGCACTAATTTTTCCTATAAGTGCCTTTCTATGTAATACTTTGTTTTTTTCCACTCTTGTTATGGAAATAAAGTAAAATATCATAAGTAAGACATTACATAATTTATTGAAACTAGAATTTAGACAAATCAATTGTAATTAAAAAATAATTGTTATGTTTATCTAATTGATGTTATAATGATGATAGCACTTTATTATAAAAACTATAATTGGTTTGTACTGTTCCATCAAATAAAAAGTAATAATAAGCCTAGCCCTTTTAAGCTTGGTGACTTGCATTTTATAAACAAAAGGTAAAGGGTGGGCTAAAATCTGTCTTTATAAATTCATGTATAATGCATGATGGATCGATCATTTAACAATTTCTTTAGTGCTCTAGGTTTGTTTAATTTGTGTGAACAACCATACTTTATTCTAATACTCTTCCATCTTCTCTTAAACACCAATTAATAGATGAGGACCTACAGAAATAAGAAAACATTTAGCTAATTATGTATGTATGTGTTATATACATAAACACAAATATTTACATGGCATATATAATAAACATTTGCCATTTCAATAATCTTCACATGTACCATCAAATGACAGAAATTACATTAATCATTTTGTTCCTCCATCACCCTAATCCTTTTCAAAATATTTTATTCTTGGTTTTAATGAAATATGATAAATTATTCAATGGGGCAAGGCTTTTTAAAAATGTATTCATTCTAGTTTATTCCTCTCAAAGAACTCCAAGAATATTTCAGGAACTGAAACTGAGTAGTCGGGACCTCAGAATATTGATTGATTTTAGTGAGAAAAAGCACCCACGACGCTGTTTAGCTCCAAATGGTGAGGTCTCTGGTATTGAATTTGACCTCTGTCGTTTGTGAAGTGACTAAGCCGTGGACACTCTCCGCTACTCCCTTCCTTTTGAAACTGTCTGGACTTTCTGTAACAGTTTGCTGTGCTTGTTCTGAGTGCCCTCGTGTTGGTTCCAACTCATAGCAACACTGTGGCTTGAACAAAGCCCTATTCAGTCACGTGTTACCCTCGCAACTGTTGCTATACTTGACCTCATTGTTTCAGCCTCTGTGACAACCCATCTTGTTAAGGTCATTCCTTGTTTTGTCAAACCTTCTGCTTTATCAAGCATCATCTCCTTCTCCAGGGATTGTCCCTCTTAATAACATGTCCAAATTATGTGAGGTGAATTTTCACCTGGCTTGCTTCTAAGGAGCACTCTGGCTTCTTCCAAAACATATTTGTTCACTCTTCTGGCAGTCTATAATATATCCAATATTCTTGGGTGTGTTTGGTATTCCTTATTCATTGTCCAGGTTTTACATGCAAATGAAGCCATGTAAAATGCCATGAACTGGATCAGACATACCATGTCGTCTTTAATCAATATATATATGGTGAAAATATATGACGATGGCACACACCTTTCCTGATATTAAAACACGCAATTCCGTTCTCTTCAAATGACTGCCTCTTGGTTTATGCACATGAGCTCAAGTATTCTGAGATGCACATTTTTGCACTGCTATCTGTCGTTTATTATGATCCACAGAATCAAATGCCTTTGCACAGCAATAAAACAAAGGTCATCTTTATGATAACCTCTACTTTCTGCCAAGATCTATCTAACATCAGTACTAATCTCTCTCCACAACCTCGTATGAAACCATCTTGGTTCGGGGGCTGTCTCCTATTTACACACTGTTGCAACAGTTGTTAACTTAACTTGACTTAAAGTTTACTTGCATTTCATATTAAGTGCTTGATAATTTCTGCACTGTTAGGTTCATCTTTCTTTGTAATAGGTACAGATAGGTTTCTCTTACAATCTGTTGTCCAGGTGCCATCTTTCTAATTTATCAGTATAGATGAGTGGGCACTTCCAGCATTGCACTGTTTGTAAAAACACCTCGATTGGTGTTCCTCCAATTCCTGAAGTCCTGCTATTCAGCAATACCTTCCATTTAACTTGGACTTCTTTCAATACCATCAGTCCTTGACCCTATGCTGTTTCCTGAAATCAACCAATTCTTTTAGGTATAACAGTGACGTGCTTTCCTTTCACCTTCTTCTTTTGCTAACTGCATCATTCAATTTTTGCCTTGAGAATATTTCAATGCTGTAACTAGAAACTAGAGTTTTTCCCATCAGTTCATTCAGATTGAGAAAGGCTGAGTGTGCTCTTCCCCTGGGGTCTTCTACCTCCTAGTGTTGCACATTCTGCTATTTTTCTTATCTAGAGTGACCCTTGTAAATATTCCATCCAGCTCCTCTATGCCATATATATCTATGTGTACATATATTAATTTCAGAATGTATTAACCTTGTTGAAAATCAAAACGGTATTACAATATGTTGATGCAAAGTCTCTTATTCCTCTCTGGTTTCTCAGTGTTTCCGCTACACCCTCACCTAATAAATTTCCTGTCTCTTCATCTTAAACATATGTAAACTAATATATGAGGAGCTTCAAAAAGTTAATGGAAAAATGGAATTAAAATATAATGAAAATTTCCCACAATATTTATGAAGCCCCCCAGCCCCCTGTATATTCTTACAAGGAGCCTTGGTAAGGCAGTGGTCTTAGCATTAGGCTGCTAACTAAAAGGTTGGCAACCACTCAGGAGAAGATGTGTGTGCTGCCCATAAAGATGCGTCTGCAGCCGGGGCAAGCCTAGGGATGACCTCTCTCTCCCATAGGGTCTCTTTGGGTTGGAGTCAATGGACAGCGGTGGGTTTTGTATATTTTTTCTTTTTAAATTTTCTTATTTTATTATATTTGTGTCTATATTGTAAAGATATTTGTATATTGTGATCATTAAGGATTGAATCAACTAGACACGCTTACGGAAGAGCAAGGGAGGAGTCCAAACTCTCACCCCGTGGAAATCTAAGGACACCTGCATGGGGGGGGTGCCCTTTTGTGTAAGGAAGAAACTGAGCAGGGTTGAGCCCTTTGTCTTCTGCTGGAGCTGGATCTTGCTCCTGGTTCCTTGTTCTCCTCTTGGGTCACCTGCTGATCTCAGGACCCATCAATAGATGACTACCCATTTGGCAGACTTCAGGGCCATTAACCTCTGCATCTGACAGCCTGTGCCCCTTGATGTCTCTGCTTCATCATCCTGCTTCCTGTTCATCAGTTTCCACAATACAGGAGCCACCTGGCTTGAACCGGACTGGCCTTACTTAACTATACAATTAAGTAAGCACATGCAAGCAGCCCTGGGTTTGCTTCTCTAGAGAACACACTCTAACACGTATAGCTTGCTGTTGTCACTCTCTTCACTTCCCAATGAATCCTGTAATTTAAATATATATACATGTGCAATATGTTTATAAATGTATACATCTGTATGCAGACATATAAAATAATATAAATATATGTGAATATATTTAACCCTGACATGCCTCATGTACTGAGCTAGATGCCCCTATAAAACCACCCTCTCAATTCAAGCTCTAGAATATTAAGAGAAACCCAGAAGCCACTCGTGTCCTTTCTCCTCAGTTCTCCCCTCAGGCTGATCATGATGATGATCTCTGTCAACACAGGATTGTTTCAGATCCTTTTGTCTTTCACATGGATGGACTCATAAATCATGTGACGATTTGGTACCCAGTTTCACTTCTCAATATTATAGATAAAAGATGCATTCATTTTGTTGCTGATGATCAAAGACTATACCCTTCAGAATAGATTACAACTCAATATAAAGAATAAAAAATCTTCACAACTGGACCAATAAACAATGTGATAAAAAAAAGGGGGGGAGGAAGATTGAAGTGGCAAATATTTTACTTTAGGTTCACAATCAATGTTCATGGAAGCAGAAGCCAAGAAGCTAAAGGGAATATTTCATTCGGTGAAAATGCCACACGGGACCTCTTTCAGGTAAGGACCCAAGCCATGATATTGTCTATGGCGTGATATACTTGTGAAAGCTGGACAATGAATGAGAAGAGACGCTGAACCGGAGCTGTGATATTGTGAAGAAT